ACCAAGGAAACTAATGCTAATATGCCCATGAACCTCACCAAAATGGTGGAGAAGGTGCACCTCCACAGGCACATACATACACATGTGGTGGGAATGCCCCCAAATCCAACTATTTTGCACATCAGCCATACAAGAAATATGTAAATAAGCAAGTATTAGAAATCACCCCAGAACTGGCCCATTTACACCACAAAGAACTCATCACCCACCTACTTTCAGAAGCCAGAAGCATCATAACCAGGCACTGGAGAGATCTGTCAGGAGTAAACATGGACCAATGGTACCAAATAGTATGGGAAACAGCCCTACTAGAAAAATTAACACTAATAAATGAAAATCTGCCCTTATTCCCTTATAGGGACACAAGAGCCCTTATAGAGTCCTTTGCAAGTTCTCCATCGGTTGGAGAAAATAACAGGCCAACCAGAGAATATTGAGAAGCAAAGCAGCTAGTAAGCCTGATCTTTATTGAACTGTTGCAACAGGATGCCCCCTTCACACGCAGGAGAAGGAGGAGTACCCTGAACCTAGGTGTGCCCGCCCTTATATAGACATTTTAAATTGCCAGCCCTGGAGTCCAAGACCACCCCCCAGAAACATCATACATACATCACAGAAAGGGCGTCTACAACAGAAATCTGAGTGGGTTGTTTACCTCCTGTCTGGCAGGTTACCTGTTAATGCTTACTTGATTGGATACCCTGGAGAGCCTGGCCAGTCATTTGTAATGATAAATACTTAGTTCCTGAGCCAGGTCACAGGCTCACCCTATTCATATACAGACATACCCTTAAGACAGGATTTGTGAATGAAAAGAAAATGGGGAGGCTTTTCCATTTTCCTTGACCTTGCAGAGAAATCATTTGGGCAGTTTGGGAGTCAAAATGATTTCAGGGCTGTTTTCCTGTGCTGCTTCAGGCATGTGCTTTATATATTTATGTACGTGTTTGCTTGGTACATTTATGAACATTTATTATATATATATAACCTTAATTTTTTTATTTCATAACCAATATACTGAAACCGACATGGGGACAAATAGAAGAAGATACCGTCACCCCGGTATGGCTCCTCTTCATCACATACACAGCCCAACAAAACAACGACAAGAATCCACCAACAGCAAAAACCATATGAGAAATATGTAAAATAACTAAGCAGGTATTTGAAATCACCCCAGAACTAGCCCTACTAAACATCTTCCAAGACAATAATGCCACTCACATCACAAAAAACTCAAAACCCACCTACTCTCAGAAGCCAGAAGCATCATAACCAGACACTGGAGAGACCGGTCAGAATGGACCAATGGTACCAAATAGACCAGAATCCACCAACAGAACCCCCCTTTTCCTTCCCAAAGTAAGCCTAATGTCTCAACAAATGAAACTGACCTATGGAAAATGTAACTTGAAAGAAGAGACATGCACATACCTTTGTAAACCAAGAAAACTTTAATAATTTTTTTTAAAAAGCAGTGCTCCAACAACCAATTATGAACATAGGGAGCTGCCAAGTCCTGAGTCAAATCATTGGTCCATCTCTTTCAGTAGTGTCAGCGCTGAGTAGCAGTGTCTCACTCAGGGGGGACATTCCTAGCCCTACCTGTAAATGCTGGGGTGGAACAAGGGACCTTCTGTGTCCAAAGTAGATGTTCCACCTTTGACCTGCTGCCCTTTCCGCATTTGTCTTGGGGTTGTAGAAGTGAGGAGAAGGACACAGGCACCTGCCAGCAGCCATGCAAACAAGAGCTTCCGGATATAGGTTTGGTTGTGCATGTTTATTTGTATTCAGTTGACAGCTGTTTTGCAGATTGCTTGATCGAAAGGCGGAGTATAAATCTACAAATTAAATTAATGATCTGGTCCATAGAAGGCCATCAGCTGGCCTGCTAAATGTGAGGGTTGCAGCTGGTTAGATTGATGAAAAGGGAAATAGGCAAAACAAGTAGGAACCTGCAACAAAACATCAACAGCATTCGATGTTCCTGTTCAGGATTCCAGCTCCTCCATTGCATTCCCCCTTTCTTGCTTTCCCAGCGACTGTCACTTACCCAAAGGAGGGTAGTCCATTGGGGCAATGGGGGCGCTGCTCCAACAGCCGTAATCTGTCCCGTTCTGCCTACCTTCTTACTTACTACCTTCTTGCCCTGCCTGTTAGCTTCCTCCTCCTTAGCCTCAACATTGCCCTTGTAGACTTCGGCATGGAAGAGAAGGATAGGGACAAAAACCAGAAGGAATTAACTCTGTCTGACATTGGCTGAGGTTGCACCTGTCAATCAACACTGGCTGTTGGGTATCTTGCCTTGCACCCTATCAGTACAAATGGGTGCCAGCCACCACAGTGCTCACCATTTCAAGTCATCCAAGCATGCTCAGTCCTTGTTGGGCCGCTTTTGGTTATATACACAATCAAATTCCCAACCCGAACATCAGAAACAGAGCGGATGCTGCTGCTAAACAGGACTCAATGCTATGCTGTTGTCATTTAATCTTGGAAACGATGTCCTTGCCAAACATACTTTTAAAGGGTGTTCGACGTCTCACCAATTTGTATTCAGGCATTCTGACATTTATGCTCCCTAAAACTTGCTCCTTGCAATGATGTATAGGTGGTATTTAACTCCAACTAAATTAGCTAAAATGTATAGGATGAGAAACAAGAACTGTTGGAAATGTAAGGATAAAGAAGATTTTTACCATATGTGGTGGACATGCGATAAAGTTAAAAGATTTTGGGAAAAGATTTATAATGAATTTTTTTAAAAAAATGTTTAGATATACAGTGGTACCTCGGGTTAAGTACTTAATTCGTTCCAGAGGTCCGTTCTTAACCTGAAACTGTTCTTAACCTGAAGCACCACTTTAGCTAATGGGGCCTCCTGCTGCTGCCGTCCCGCCAGAGCACAATTTTTGTTCTCATCCTGAAGCAAAGTTCTTAACCCGAGGTACTATTTCTGGGTTAGTGGAGTCTGTAACCTGAAGCGTATGTAACCTGAAGCATATGTAACCCATGGTACCACTGTATCTACAGAAAGTTAGCTGGAACTGAGAAAGCTATGGTTGCATTATACATGAAACCACCTGTTGAATAGAATATTAAGCCACAAGCCAGCTGCTCTGAAAAGAAATGCCACTTTTTTTATTAGCAGAGAGAGATAGAGATGCAGAAAATGCTGGTTTCAAAATATGACCAGATATGCCACAGTGAAGGCAAGCTCTTCTTATTCAAAACACCAAATGCATAGATTGGCAGAGGGCTGAGGCTGAAAGAGAGTACAAACCCTGAAGCGTTCTTGTTAGGTATGACAGGAGAAGAAATTTCAAAGGTAGATAAGAGACTGTTTATGTATGCCACGATGGCAGCTAGGACTTTACTGGCCCCAAAATTGAAACAACAAGAATTACCAATGATAGAAGAATGGCAGACTAAGATGATGGACTATGCAGAACTAGCAAAGTTGACGGTAAAAATCTGAAATGAGAGCAACCAAACGTTCCAGAGTGACTGGACTAAATTTATTCAATATATAGACAATCATTGTAAACATCTAAAGATACTAGCAGGACTGAGATTAATCTTGTATCGTCAAACAGATGGATCTATCTACTGATGTTTAAAGTTTAAAATATCTAAGGGAAAAGGTAGAATGGAGACGATACAAATGTGTGTGAATATGAAATAGATATTAAAAAACCAGACAATGGGATGGAGGGAAGTCGAGAAGCTCTGTGCAGCTATTAATATACTAAATAAATATGTTATATATATGTTAGATATAAATAAAAATATTTTTTAAAAAATAAATAAAACTTTCTCCTTGTTACTTTGAAGAATAATAAATATGTAATCCCATATGAAGCAATTATAATATATATAAACTGAAAGAAATGCCTGTTTAATTGCAGAAGTAAGGTAAATGATCCATAAATATACATTTCTCTGATTATGCAGTCGTTTATTTATATATTTAATTAAACAATGCATATACTGCTTAATTACAATAGTCTTTCAACAGTTTGCAGGACAAAAAAAAACCAATGGTCAGTTAAAACTATAAAATCAAACAAGTTAAAAGTTTGTGCGAACAAAAAAAGGCACTGGAATCTCAGTGTGGGAGGGAGAGAGGCTAGTTGAATAGTAAAGCAATGGCAGAACTATAAATACTGTTGCTCTGTTAAGGCCTGAGTTCTCCAGGCCAGGCAAATTCATAGGGAAACCATTGAGGAAAACAGATAAAAAGTGGTTTCCAAACTATGAGCTTTTAGTGTGACCCAGTCATGTTTCCACCCTATGATATATGCAAGTGTAACTGACCATTTTATGCTTCAGCACCTGTAGCTGCTGCTTTTTCCGTATACATCCTGGCAGTGGCAGACTTTGGGCTCTCAACTTTCAGTGGCGCCCTGTGTGAGACAAACTGGGGGGGGGGCTCTTCTTGCACTCTATTCTGCAGCATTTTTGTGGCACCCCTTGCAATGTAGCATACAGTGCAGTTGTGCTACCCTAAAACTGCCTCTGGTCCTAGAATGTACTGTTGAACCTGTGAGTGTGGTGTAATTAAGCATACAATTTCAGCACTGGGTCTTCAATCCTACCACCACCACCACAACGTCTTAAAGAAAAATGCAACGTTTTCATTGTAGGGCAACATTTAAAACCAATTAAAAACAAGCCACCAGCCAAGGAAGGTATTACTGAATCTATATGAAAACAAAGAGGCATGGGTAATAGGACTTAGTTGCTTGAATTTGGGACGAGGAGCCGTTTTCAGCCAGAGGGCTGCATTCTCTCATGGAACCACAAACCAGAGATGGCTGGGGTTATAGGCAAAAGCAGAAGGAGCAATGGATGCGACTCCTACCTTTGAACAATGGGATGCATTCCAGCCACATAGAAGAGGTTTCTGCACCCCTGTTTGGATTGTGCATATATGTCCATTCCCTAGCCTAGCGTCTGGCTTCCTTGAAATGTGGTACATATTTGCTGCATATCTTCCATACTGCCCAACAACCAGTCGCTCATCCTGTACCTCAGCTCTCCTGCATTCTGGAATCTGTGATGGATTTTCTGTTGCCTGACATGTCTGGGTTCTTCTGAAGAGCTCTTTTCAGTTTCCCAAGGGTGGCTGCCAGCAGAGCCCTCTTGAAATTGCTGGACAGAAAAAAGAAAATAATGGGGTCGAAGCAGCAGTTGAGGGCTGAGATGCAAAGGACAACTTCATTGGCAAAGTGGAGGGCCTGAACACTCTCTGCAGCAGAAAAGACCCCTACCTGGGCAAAGATGTAGGGCACTCGGACCATGTGGTAGGGGGCAAAGCATATTGTGAAGACGAGCAGGACCACAGAGATCTTCAGAGTGGCTCTGCTGCTAATCCGCTTACTTTTCCTTAAGGATGCTGTGTGGAGCTTAAGAGAGATTTTGCAGTAAGAGTAAAGGAAAAACAGCAACAGGAAGAAGAAAAGGAGCACGGCCGTCATGTTGAGCACTGCTGCCAGAGCTCCTCTCTTCTTGAAGTGGAAGCATTTGTGGCTGCAGGGGTCGTTGCTGTTGCCCTTGTTGAAAAAGTATGGCAGCATTATGGCAATGCAGAGCAGCCATACCACTCTGGAGGCAGAAGTGCTGTGAGGTACTTTGTGGATCCGGAACTGCTGGAGGGGCCAGATGATCTTCAGGTAGCGGTCCAGGCAGATCAGGCTGAGGAGCAGGATGCTGATGTACATGGTGGTATAGAAGACTGTGCCAACCACTTTGCACAGGATGGGAGGGCCATTCTCATTTTGATAAGCAGCCCGGAAGGGCAGGCAGAGGGCAAGCAAGAGGTCTGAGATGGCAAGGTTCTTCATGTACACCGTGATGGAGTTTGTCTTCTGTGTGCCAAACTGGAACACCCAGAGGGCCAGCATGTTGCTGAAGAAACCAAATGTGGAGATGACTGAGTACATCACAGGCAGAGTCCCTGCAAGAAAGCCATCTTGGATTTCACAAGTTGATCCATTAGAATCATTCCTTGGGAGATGGTCATTAGGGGAAAGGAAATTCATAGTTCTGCAAAAGAAAAGGGGGGTGGGACCAAGGTGCAGATGATTAGCTGATTCCACAAACAACTTGGTCCATCTTTGCTTTAGCTGCAAACATCTCTAGTAACTTATCAGGCATGTTGCTGATTCATATCTGCCTATTATGCAATGAAAGGCATTGCGGTAGTTTGTTGAGCCAGTTTGGCTCAACCAGATGGATCTCATAGGTGGAAATTGCATATCTGATTGCTGTACTAGATGCCATTTTTGTAAAGAAACCTGACAGTGCAGTCATGTTATTTTAAATCATTTTTAGTCCACCTGACTTTTAGCTAATCATTTAAATTTTGACAAAACCTCAGTATGTGTTTTGTTTAAGAAGTTAAAGGAAATCTAAAATTCACAATTAAATGTTTTAAGTGCTATGTTTTAACACACCAGAACCAAAGTTGCACAGAATGAATGCATCTGTGCATAACTAGTGTTTCATGTGCACTTACTTTGTCCTGTGATTTATTCTGTTTGTCCCATGATTTCTAGTCATGCGTCCAAGAGGGGTTTTCTTTGTCCCATTGCTTTCCCCAGGAAAACTCACCGTTTCACTGCTGAATCAGAACATCAATCCACAGAAAACCCAATAGATATTTGTTCCATTTCAACAGTAAACAGCAGATCTTCCTGGGGAAAGTGACAGAACCAAAACAAAAACAAAAGGAACCTCTCAGACCAGGGGCACTGCATGAGCTGCTGGTGGGCGCATGCATGCCCTGGGGACAGGCTGCGGAGGGTGAACGGAGCCTGTGTCAAGCCCTCATCTCCAACCTGCCGCTCACCTGGGCCAAGTGGGGCCACGCTGCACCCCTGTGCACCAGCAGCCCTTAGCAGGCACAAAGGGAACACTCACACTGCCCTGCCAGCGCTGCACCACTTTGTGATACTGCAGCGCTATGTGGAGGAGGATGCAACAGGCATGCACCCTTCCTGTTGTGTCCTCTTCACACAGCACAGGGCTGGCAGGGCAGAAGGAGCAAGATGCACTCCCCCAATGCACCCGGGATCCATTGCCCCTCTGCCCTCCCCACGTGGCACCACTTTCTCAGAACCCCAACTATTTAATCACATTATTTAATGATGAACAGTGCCGGATTTATGTATAAGCTAAACAAGCTATAGCTTAAGGCCCCACTCTCTTGGGGGCTCCAAAAACATTTAAAGAAAAAAATTGGAGTACATTTCCAAAATATAAGATAAACAAATAAAATAAAAACCTTCATACAGCAACAGTGTTTTATGTTGTGTAGACTCCCATGATGTAAGTAATGGGCCCCACCTGCTAGCCTGCTCCCTAAAATATCACTTCTTCTTAATTGTAATTTCAGTTCAACAATTACTTTGATAAAATACATATTTTGTTATGTGGAAATGGCTTTAGGTACCTACTAGGTCCATAAATTACCATATAGCATATATTCAACACAAAAAACAGCGACAATTTGTTGCTGACAAAGGACAGCTGGACATTTAAAGGGCCCCATTACCTTCAGTAGCTTAGGGCTTCATTAAACCTAAAACCGGCCCTGATGATGAACCTACTGTTTCAGAGTGTCTAATGTCTGTGGACAGAGATTTGCCAGCAGAAACTTCCAAACTGACAAGCAAACCCAGAATTGGTTCTATATTTATATATCTCTGCCAATATATGGGAGTGGGCAAGATCTCAGTGGTACAGCATCTGCTTTGGATGCAGAAGGCCCCTGATTCAATGCCCTGCTTCTCCAGATAAGGCGGGAAGGGACCCCTGCTTGAAACCGTGTTAACTATTAACTATTAAAACACTATCCAGGACAGAAGCGAAAAAATACCCAAGAGTTTCAGAAATCAGACATATTGAAATCATAAAGCTCCAAGTAATATGAAGGTTATCAAATAACATACCTATGCCTGGTTTTCCAGCTTATAGCTTAAACTAACAATTCTAGGCTTAAAAACAAACCAACAACTTTTGCCTACCTTTGCAGCTTTGGCTTCTTTCACTCGTCCCAGCTCTTTTAAAAAGTCCAACGAGCTCGTGACAGAATTTCATGTAGTGCCTCTGCCTCTTTCACCTCTAATGTCAAGATGCTATACTGTCAGCAAAGAGATGGAAGTGGTTTGGTATGTGGGAGGGTTTTAATATATATAAAAAGAGCAAATCTACAAAAATCAGCCCACATCTAACAGTGTCTGAGCCTGCTGCAGAAAGAGCAGAAGTGAAAGAGTGTGTTTGCTTGCTTGCTTTTCAGCAAAGGGAAACAGAAGCAATTTGATGGAGAGGGGGTAGGGAGTGGACACTTGGGCTTAGGATGAGAGGTGATGGTGTTTTCCTTGTGCGCTTTGTATACCGCATGTGTGTCTTGGGGTGAGATACATGTGCATCTGAGCATGCAATTATCAGAAATGTAAGTTTCATTGCTTACATAGCCACAATCATATACAAGAGGCTTGGAGAAATGTTTACAAAGTGCAAAAAAAAAACCCCAAACCCCCCACAACCTACCCATTGGGAGACCTCAAAAACAGCCCAGTGAGGCTTCAGAATTCTTACTATCTGATGTGGGATTTAGGGACAGGGGGGAGTGGAGTTGCTAGGGTGGATGTTGTGTTGGTTGTAGTCCAGTCTTTCCTTGGTAAAAATTGTAACTGGCCTATTTAAAGGGTGGGGACGCGGGTGGCGCTGTGGGTAAAAGCCTCAGCGCCTAGGGCTTGCCGATCGAACGGTCGGCGGTTCGAATCCCCGCGGCGGGGTGCGCTCCCGTCGTTCGGTCCCAGCGCCTGTCAACCTAGCAGTTCGAAAGCACTCCCGGGTGCAAGTAGATAAATAGGGACCGCTTACTAGCGGGAAGGTAAATGGTGTTTCCATGTGCGGCTCTGGCTCGCCGGAGCAGCTTCGTCACGCTGGCCACGTGACCCAGAAGTGTCTCTGGACAGCGCTGGCCCCCGGCCTCTTGAGTGAGATGGGCGCACAACCCTAGAGTCTGGCAAGACTGGCCCGTACGGGCAGGGGTACCTTTACCTTTTTATTTAAAGGGTAGCACATTTGGCCTTTTGAAATGATACAATGAAAACAAAATGTAATTTTAATAAAGCAACCTCTTAGCAACCACCTTTATATTAGCTGTTCATTTTAGCTGTCTCTACACTAATACACAGAGTACAGGAAACAAGCAAGAGGAACTTGAGCTCTTAATACAGGGTGGCAAATATGACCTAATAGACATTAATGAATCCTGGTGAGATGAGACTCAAGACTGGAATATAGAAACTGGTGCCTCCCCCCACCTCCAGCTGGAGCTCTCCAGAATCCAGCTCTGGCACCTCTCAGATGGGCGCCATTGCCATTCTCAGAGAACAAGGGAGTTCACGGTGAGCTCCAGCATCCCTTTTTCTAGAAAAACAGCACTGGGTACAACCTATTCAAAAGGGATAGACCAAATAGGAAAGGAGTAGGAGTAGCATTATATATAAAGGATGTGTATGTTTGTACAGTGGTGCCTCGCAAGACGAAATTAATCTGTTCCGCGAGTCTCTTCGTCTTGCGGTTTTTTCGTCTTGCGAAGCACGGCTATTAGCGGCTTAGTGGCTATTAACGGCTTAATGGCTTAGCGGCTTAGCGGCTATTAACGGCTTAGCGGCTTTAAGAAAAAGGAAACAAACTCGCAAGAACTCGCAAGACGTTTCGTCTTGCAAAGCAAGCCCATAGGGAAATTCGTCTTGTGGAACGACTCAAAAACGGAAAACCCTTTCGTCTAGCGAGTTTTTTGTCTTGCGAGGCATTCGTCTTGCAGGGCACCACTGTAAAGAGATCCATGACCTGGATCATGGAAAGCAGACTCAAAGTCTATGGGTAAAAATGGTAGGAGTAAGAAGCAACAGTGATCTTACTATGACTGTTGGCTATAGACCTCCAAGCCAGACTGAGGACTTGGATGATGCCTTCCTAGAGCACCTTACCAAACATTCAGAAAGGAGAGAGGTAGTAGTCATGGAAGACTTCAGCTACCCCAATATCTGCTGGGACTCAAACTCTGCCAAGAATGCAAGGTCCAACAAATTCCTCAATTGCTTCACTAACAATTTCATTTCCCAGAAGGTGGAAGAAGCAACAAGGGGAGCCTCACCAACAGGGAGGAACTGATTGACAAAGTGAAAGTACTGGGGAGCTTGGGAGGAAGTAATCATTTCCTCTTGGGTTTCATTATAAGCAGGCAATTAAGAAGGCTGATTTCAAAAAGCTTAAGGAACTACTGAGTGAAATCCCATGTATTTTTTTTGCACTTTTTTCTCCTTCTTTGTTCTTTCATCGCTTTATTTTCTATAACAAATTATTTTAATGAAATGGTGTGTGTGTAACACCTAAAGAAACCAGCGTGGCTGCATAAGTAGCCCCCAGATGAGCTGAAATGTAAGAGATGGAAGCTGGGGTGACAACTTGAATAAAATATTGTTGGGCCAGGTAACCCACCTTGCACACCATTTGAATGGGAATGCCCATCCACTTTGTGGGGGCTCAGCCTCCTCAAATATTATATTGTGGGGGCCAAAGCCCCCATAGCCCCTAGGAGTTGGCTCTTATGGATGGAAGAAAAGAGAAATCATGAAAGAAAAATATACACAAGCAGCCAACAGTTGCAGAGAGAAGGTTCAGGTGAGCCAAAACACAGAATGAGCTATTCAATGCTATTCAATGACAGAGAGAAGGCAGAATTGTTGGACCCCTACTTTGCCTCTGTCTTCACCCAAAAAGAATGAGCCACAAGCTTCATGGATCAGGGGAATACTGTGGACATAGTATCATAGAATTGTAGAGTTGGAAGGGACCCTAAGGCTCATTTAGTCCAACCCCCTGCAGTGTATCTTGTATATTTATTTCAGTAAGCCTTTTGACAAATGATATTTTTACAGAGAAGCTGGTAAAATGTGGGCTGGCTGAGGTTAACTCCCTGACCCCCACAGTGGTTTGAAGTAGAGCTCTTGCTTATTGTTTAAAATATAATATTGGTGTGAGTGGTGCTGTGCTAGAATAATTGTCAGAATCTACTTTTGGCACAGTTTGTGGTTTGTGTTTGTTTCTAAGCCATGTATTAGATGGAACTTAAATTGCTTGAATTGCATGGTATTATATGTTATATGGACGTTTCAATTTGTATAAAAGTTAGAAAGGCAGGCCTACAGAAGGGCAGGGTGAGGTTGGCTGTGTACCCTCCTGGCCCGTTCTCCCATCCAGCAAGTGGGTGTGTTTTTGTATAGCTTCAGCTGTTGACTGCATATTGTTAGGCTGTAGAGAGGAATCTGATGTATCCCAAGTTAACCATTGGTTCATTTAGGCAGATTAGGGGTGACTCTCCAGGGCTGGAGGCAGGGAACCTCTTCCAGCCCCACTTGGAGATTTGGGGGATTCAACGTGATACTTCCTGCATGCAAGGTCTGAGCTCTTGGGATCCCCACAGAGTATGGCGTACCCCACACTCAGGACTATGCAGGCCAGACCAGCGAGCACAATCTGACAATCTACGGGAGTACACAGGCACACGGAGAACAGAACACGAACACAGCCACCACACAGAATGGATCTCTTATGCAGACAGGAGGAGGGGCACAGATGGATGGCCAGCCATCACAGACACAAAGCAACGAGAGTACCGAGAGCAAATCTACTCCAAAGCGGCTGCATGTCTCCAACATTCCCTTCCGCTTTCGGGATCCTGATCTCAGGCAGATGTTTGGGTAATTTGGCAAAATCCTTGATGTAGAGATAATCTTTAATGAACGTGGCTCCAAGGGATTCGGGTTTGTAGCTTTCGAGAATAGTGCTGATGCAGACAGGGCCAGGGAGAAATTACACGGCACCGTGGCAGAGGGCCGTAAAATCGAGGTTAATAATGCCACCGCCCGTGTGATGACTAATAAGAAGATGGTCACAACGTATACAAACGGTTGGAAACTGAGCCCTGTGGTTGGAGCAGTGTATGGCCCTGAATTATATGCAGTTCCAGGCTTCCCTTACCCAACTGCAGCCACCACAGCAGCCGCATTCAGGGGAGCTCATCTGAGGGGCCGAGGGCGGACAGTGTATGGCTCAGTGAGAGCAGTACCTCCAACAGCCATCCCAGCTTACCCAGGTGTGGTTTACCAGGACGGATTTTACGGTGCTGACCTCTATGGCGGATATGCAGCCTACAGATATGCACAGCCTGCTACCGCAACGGCCGCCACTGCTGCTGCAGCGGCTTACAGCGATGGTTATGACAGGGTGTACCCAGCAGACCCTTACCACGCCCTTGCCCCTGCCGCTAGCTATGGAGTTGGCACTGTGGCAAGTTTATACTGAGGTGGCTACAGCTGATTCGCCCCTTACTGAAGTGACATGAGGCCCCTGCAAGTGGGACAGCCCCCCCAGTTCATGAGGCCTGGCTATTGCAATATTTACTAGTAGAGGAACTCTATAGCAAGAAGAGGAGGAAAACAAAAGGAAAAAAACGAGAAATACTTTTATATACCTCACTATGTTCTTTGAATATGTATTTTTCCTTTAAATTTCTGCCTTTAATTCCTTTGTTCCAAAGATTGTGCATTTTGGGGGGGGGGTTTGGTTTTGTTTTTTTAAAAACTGTGGTAAACATAATGCATTTTGTTATGTACAGAGGTTCTCACCCTGGGCCAGCAGGGGGATACTGTAGATAGTTTTCACTCAGGTCCACATCAGTTATTTTAGGCAGGAAACCCTGGGTTGTTGTTGCTATAATGTTGACAGCTAGCTGCCTATAAAAGCAGGCCGGCTGAGCTGTTTGCTGTTCAGTTTCTATTCCAGCTTACAAAATAAAGAGCTGCTTTGGAGAAATCGCTGTGTCGTCTGCCATGTCTACCCACTATTTAACACATTTCCATGTGTGTATATGCGTAGCTTATCCTACCAATCATAAAAAGAAATGAATAGTGCTAAGGAGCACCATTAGGAACCAGTATCATGAAACTAAATCAGGAACATGCAGACGCTTTATTTTACCTGGGCCTGGTGCCTGAGGCCTGCGATACACAAGGAATAGCCCCCTCTGCCTGCAAAGGGCAGTGCTGATTGGCTGCAGCTGGAACCTGCATGCTGTTTGGAAATGCAAAATGTTCCCTTTTTATCATCACCTGACAAACATGGGCTCAGGACGGTTCTAGAAGTGTCAAGATTTTAGAGTTTTCAAGACAAGACTCCTCAAAACTGCCCAAAGACTTCGTCTGTTAATGGTTTTAGGGGGACAAGACTTGAAATACATTTATGATCTTACTGCTTCTATACATAAGGCCCCCCCTTTAGTGATTAACGTCCACTACCAAGGCTGTCCTTAGTTTTTTTCACTTACTATGGTCTTCCTCTCCTCCTGTCCTTCCCCTCTTTTCTTTTCTGGAGGAGCAGCAGATGTGGGACAACGACTGCAGAACTTGAAGCCATGGTGGAGAGTTACATCTCCAATAACAAGGAATCTGATGGCCATGTCGTGCACACCCTGAAGTTACAGAAGAACGATTTTTTTTGGGGGGGGGGGCTTGCACCAGTGCCACTCTGAGCTAATCAGTCACCCAGTTTCCAAGATCCTTCTTCTTTTCACCCTAAGATACTTAGTTTTGCTGCAAGTATGCCACCAAAAAAATGCATGAAGAGAAGAATATGGCCTGGATAATGAACCTAGAAAAGCAGCAGAGGCAGTGGGAATGATATTTTGTGTTGCAAAACTATACTTAAAGTAATCCTTGTGTAGCTTCAGCGTCTGGGGACAAGCAGAAATATATTTCATATGCTGATGATGCGGTCCTCCTATCCCGAACAAAAATAGGCCTAAAAAGGTTGATAGGAGAATTCTCAGCATGCTGCAGGAGAGAACAGCTGGTGGTAAACTATAATCTATGCCCAGGGGCCTTGTTGTTCTTTAGCTATGCGATCAAATTCTCTACCTCCACTGTGGTTACAGGTGGCCAGTGATGTGAACCCTCTGGTTGAATACTTGGCTTGTTAAACTGAGCTTCCTTGTCATAATACAATGATTGAAAGTATCAGATCCACTCTTGGAGTTCAACAGTACAAATGAGTCCGTTACACTCCTGGTCCAGTAGGCCAGATATGGTACACCAAAAGCTACACTTGATCTTAGCCAAAAGGCCGAGAAGCGATGCTGATGACCTAGTACTTGTATCTAGAACCCAGGTGGGCCTGAGATGGCTGCTTGCAAAATTAAGTTCATATTGCACGAGGAATGCTTTATCTATAAACTATGATAAGACGCAGGTCATTGTATTTGGGAAGCGTTCTAAAAAGCATGTTTGGCACCTGGATGAACACATCATAAACCAAGTAAATACGTTTAAATATCTGGGATTGACTTATTCAGAAACGGCATCTTGGAATACACAGCTATCCAACATTAAATTGCAAGCCTTTAAATCAGCAAAAGCTATTCTGAAATTCGCTGCCTGTAAAGGTGGAAATCTGGTCAACCCAGCTCTATCTGTGTATAAAGCAAAAACAATGGCCCAGATTTTATATGGTGCAGAGGTTTGGGGTACCTCAAAGGTCTCCGGTCTGGAACCCCCACAGAATTATTTTTTAAGAGTTCTTTTAGGCTTACCCAAAGACGTGCAATCTGCCATGGTCAGGTTGGAAACTCGCATGTTGAACATAGAGAGCCAAATAGATAAAAGAATTCTGTTACTGGTTTAGAGTTCAACAGATGGACAACACTAGGCTACCAAAAAAATGTCTGATTGAGCTTTCAAATGGATTACCCCTTAAAAACTGGGTACATCACGCTGCCCAACTGATGGGCAAATATGATCTCTCAGTGACTGAGATTAAAGAACTCCCCTTATATTCACAGAAAAATATTTTTAAACGAACCATAAGGGCAGTGGCAACTAAAAACGATCTAAACTCTATGTGCACATCTACATGCGCCCCATTGTATTTTAAACATAGAGAGGTCAATGAACACATATCTTATTTTAATGAATTGACTTTTGCACAGCTTTGAAAAGCTTTTACAGAGCTACGACTAAATACAATAAGCTCTGCTTATAGAGATGGGAGACACAGAGGCATACCAAAAAACGAACGTGTTTGCATTAGGGGATGTTCTGAGGTAGAGGACCTTATGCATTATATCTTGCACTGTCCGTTATATAATGATGCAAGAAAAAGATTTTTGGTACCTATAATGACAGGGTCCCCTGGCCAGAACCCCCTTGACATGATGTTATATCTCCTTGCAGACATAGATAAGTATGTGACCTGACGGGTAGCACTTTTTGCAACTGCTGCTAGGAAAATTATAGCAAATTATATAGCCAAGGTAGCCATTAACTGTAAAGGAGATGAATTTATTTGATCCCATCTATCTACCTCAGGCTATGCTCTATCTTTGTCACCAAACTCTGAGTATAAATTGCACACTGTATTAATTGATATTGTTTTTAACATTAGTGACCATGTGATGATTTTAGCTTATGAATTTTATTGTTTAATGTTTTTATTTGTACATTGGGGTACTTTTATAGCTTTGTTTAGAGTACGTAATGTTTTAATAATATAAATGTTTTAAGTCTTTTTTTACCAATTCAGTATATTTTCTTTTAATTGTCAAATAATTCTGTGTACATTGCGGCAGCCTTTGGCTATGTGCAATAAAACTGACTGAGACTTGAAGGTACACCAAAAGCAAGTTGGGTCTTTCTCATGCGAAGCCGTGACCAGGCTTTGCCATGCAATTCGCTTGGCTTTTTGTTTTTGTTTTCTTTAATAGTTGTTTGTAGTTCCGTCTTATGGAGATATATGCAGTAAATAAAGGGAGTGCCCCAGTATTCCTATATTTGTGATAAATAGTTCTCAAATGCTTCCTTGTTTGTCTGCACTCTGCGTTGAACCAGCTTGCTAGATCCCTTGCCCCCTTTGTGGCTGTATTCTGTATCGCAGATGATAATTGTGTTTTCAGCATTTCTGTAAGTATCTTAAAAAGCTCTAGGACCACAGCTGTGGAGTTAGTCGAAACAATAGCAGAATGTATATTCTTTAGCTCCACTGATTGAAGGAGGAGGATTAAGTCTGCATTCAGCACAGGGGACCATTTAATTCTTGTGGGAGCCGGTATGCCCAAATTCACCGTGGGAGTATATTGTGGGTTGGCAATTGGTTTTTCAAAAGGCGGGCCTTCAAACACTAAAGTTAGAGGGAGATGGTCACTCTCAGTTTTATGGCCCACTTGGAACTTCATGACAAAGCCATACGCGAATCTTGAAATTAGAATATAATCTATAACGCTTCCGCCCGCCTTGGAAAAATGTCGTTTAATATCAACAGTTCCCTCCATTTTGCGACCAGGGCTAAGCAGAGCCCTAAAAAGTTGCATCTGCAATCGTTAGAGAGGCGTGTAACGCCTATATCTGTCTGGCTATCATGGTCCAGGAACTGCTTGTACTGAGTGTATAGACAGTTATCATCTGTTCCCATTCGGGCATTGGAGTCTCCACCGATGAGTCTCTCTTCCATGCCTGGAGAGATTCCCAGCAGTGTCCGCCTTCTTTTCAAGAACTGAAACCTGGTCACCGTAGTCCCGATGCCCTTCAGGAACTCAATAGCGGGCAGGTGGCACTTCCCCATTTCTATGTGTCTCACACTGAGACCGGCAATATCCTCCGAGAGCTTGATGATATTTATTTTCTTTTTCTTCTTCATCTCCTTCTCCAGATACTCCAGCTCGGTCAGCCAAAAGTGCTGCAGCTCCTCCAGGAAGTTGCGCATCTGCTCAAAAGCGCCCATGATCTTGTTCTTCTCCTCCTCTAGCTCTGCCAGATATGCCTGGCTCTTTCTTCTTCAGCCAGTTTCAATTCCATAATCACTCGTCTCTCTTGCACCAGAAACTGGACTATTTGCTTCAACCACTGTGAAGCCTGGTCCAGATTAATCAGTTCATGTTCGCTGTGCTCTTTTGACCTCTTGCAGACAATGCAGATGGGGGCCGCGCAAGCCCTGCAGAAAAGGTGCAAGGGTTCCCCATGTCCCTCGCAACCGGCTCTCCCCACCTCCCCACTTCTTCTTTCCCCCAATTTTTTAAAAATTAATTTTCAACATTTATCACAAATGTAACATGTAACACACACACACAAAATATACATATATATAAAGAATATATATAAAGAAAAAACACACAAAAATAATAGACTTATTACTTCTAAAACCCAATTTAACTTTCATTGTTAACTGACTTCCTCAAATCCCCCCTAACTGAATTTCATTGAGTCACTTTGTAACAGCTCTCCAAAATCATATTTCTCATAAAATTAACTCCTTCAATTTACTATTCTCTTTTCTTAATAATCTAGCCCATGAACTTTGACAATTCATTCTTATTCTAGTCCTAGGCCTGTTTGGTACTTTCCAGTAACTTCTAACATCTTATATTACAATATTTGGTTAAATATTCTTTGAATTTCTTCCAATCTTCTTGATGCTCCTCTTCCTTCTGGTCGTGGATTCTTCCAGTCGGGTCTGCCAGCTCCAAAAAGTCCAACATCTTCATCATGCCATTCTTCTTCTGTTGTTATTTCTTGAGATTTCCAATTTTTAGCTAATAGCAATCTTGTCGCTGTAGTGGCATACAAAAACAATCTAACATCTTTTTTGGGCAATTCCAACCCTGTAATTCCAAGTAGAAAGGATTCTGGTTTCTTAACAAATGTATTTTTCAACATTTTTTTCAATTCATTATAAATCTTTTCCCAGAAGTCCTTCACCTAAGGACACGTCCACCCCATATGGTAAAAAGTGCCTTCATTTTTTTTGCATTTCCAACATAAATTATCATTCGTGTGATAAATCTTTGCTAATTTTACCGGCGTTAAGTACCATCTATACATCATTTTCATGATATTTTCTTTTAATACGGTACAAGCAGTAAACTTAACCCCTTTCTTCCACAACCTTTCCCAATCTTCAAACATTATATTGTGTCTCTTGCCCAATCTATCATCACTGATTTAACTTGTTCATCCTTTGTATGCCACTCCAACAACAAGTTATACATTTTGGATAGGTTTTTAACATTTGTATCTGACAATTCTGTTTCCAGTTTGGATTTTTCCATTGCAGAACCATTTTTCTTATCAAGCTTATACAATTCATTGATCTGATAATATTGTAGCCAACCATCTAATTTGTCTTTAATTTGGTCAAATGATCTTAATTTAAATCCTTCATTATCTTCCAACAATAAGTCCTCATATTTCAACCATTTAGACTCCATATTTAACTTTTTCTGCTTCCATTGGTGAAAGCCACCTGGGTGTTTTCCTTTCTAGGAGATCTTTATATCTTATCCAAACATTATATAAAGATTTTCTAATTACATGATTTTTAAAACCTTTATGAGCCTTTATCTTGTCGTACCATAAATATGCATGCCAACCAAATACATTATCAAATCCTTCCAGGTCTAATACATCAACATTATCTAATTGAATCCATTCCTTAATCCAGCAGAAAGCTGCAGCTTCAAAATATATCTTCAAGTCTGACAGGGAAAATCCCCCTCTTTCTTTTGAGTCTGTTAGTATTTTATATTTAATTCTGGGTTTTTCCCCTTGCCAGATAAATTTAGACAATGCTTTCTGCCACTCTTTAAAACATTTTACGTTATCAATAATTGGAATAGCTTGGAATAAAAACAACATCTTTGGCAATACATTCATCTTAACCACCGATTTTCGGCCCATCAATGATAATTTTAAATTTGACCAAACCTCAAGATCTCTCTTAATTTCATTCCATATTTTTTCATAATTATCCTTATATAAGTTCAATTTTTTCACCGATATGTTCACACCCAAATATTTCACTTTTTTTCACAAAAACAAGGCCTGTCTTTTCCTGAAGGACTTTTTTCCTCCTCATTATCTAGATTTCCCCCCAAAACTTTGGTTTTGCTCTTATCTAACTTAAATCCTGCTACATGCCCGAACTCCTGAATCAACTCCAGTGCTTTCACTGCACTGCAGTCTGGATCTTGTAAAGTTAACACCAGATCATCAGCAAAGGCTTTTAACTTATATTGTTTGGATTCTACTATTATACCTTTAACCTCTTCCTCTTTCCTTAACATGTTTAGCAAAACTTCCAGAACCGAAATAAAAAGCAGAGGGGAAAGTGGGCACC